CATCTATAGTTGATACTTTTGACCTTTGGGAGGTCAAAATTAAAATTCTCAGTACCTACTACCTACCTGCTTATGGAAAAAATCGTAAAAAAGTACGAAAATGTGTTAAAAATTTTAATAATATTATCATATTGTTACTTTGGAGCATCAGAGACAGTCCATCGATAAGCCTATCGATGATTCTGAATCATTAAATTAATACAATATGAATTATGGACCCGATAATTTATTTTTTCAACAGGCTGTGGAGCCTTTCAAATGCGTGAGCCCTGTGTCACTGTACAGCTCAAACCACCTTCAAGTTGGCCTTGTCTAAACTAGACAGCAGTCATAATATGACTATATAAGGAAGAATTAGGTAATTAGGTTTTGGTAATTAATAGTTATCATTTAGTTGAGCTCTGTATGTTTTATATCGTCAACTGGCAACCAGTATTTTACACATCAGGACCCTCTTTAATTTTTTTATTTATTTAGTGTGGTGTAATATATTAACAATTATTAACAAAACCAATAATAATTCATTATTTAATAAATATTTTTTGGAATTTTTAAAGAGTTTTTCATGTTTTAGATTTATTTGTGCATATTTTTGTTTATTTTAGCTCCAGATTACTAATCATGACACTAGATCAGCAGTTAAAACATGTATTTATAAGATAGAATGGTTTTGAAATAGTTATAAGAAAGTTATGTTTCTTCTTGGTCAAATCTTATCTTTTGGTTATTATTTATACATAGATCTTTGTGTACAATTAAATTGGATAAATAAAATAGTACATAAGATGGTTATTTTTAAACTATTATTTATCGATTTATACAAATTAAATATACTATAATTCTCACAATTCTGAAATGCTGTACATCAAAATTGGTTTCATGAGTGTAATATTAAACTAGGAATTTAATAAAAATGTAACGTATTAGAAAAATAATTCTAAAAACAAAAAAAAAAAAAAAAACATTAAACTAAATCTATCATTATTTATTTTTGTATTTGTTTAATGTTAATAAAGTTCTTACAAATTATAAATAAAAATAATTAATGTTACTATTGAACACAACTACCTTAATATGTATACAAATACACACATGTATAATATTTATAAATAATTATATACAATCAGTATCAGTAAAGTATGTATCACACCATTACTTATATGTTAATATTACTACTTTTACAATATTTAAGTTCATAATATGTTTACAGGTATATAAAACAATCACACAGCTTAAAAAAATATTTTAATACAAAATAAAACTTTATATTTATGAAAATAAGTATAAACAACTTGTTTTATAAAAAGGAAGAAAATGTTGAATACAATATGTTAAATAATTTCAGATGTAACATGTCTTTTTGCTAAAGCTTAAAAAAAAAATAATAAATAAGTAATTTTATTATATTTGAACTAACAAATTTACAATAAGAACTTGCTCCAAAATTAATTTACTTATTCACTGTTTATAATATCCATACCTATTATAATACTATTGTAATACTTAAATTTTTTTATAGTAAGTCTTAAATTTCTTAAAAAAAAAAAAAAATGAATAAATAATAATTAATGCAAAATTATATATTTTTTAATCATCTAAATAATTAGTATACACTAAATGTTAAAAAATAATTTTGATGTACTAAAAATGAACACCTTAGAAAATGTATAGTCTATCGTTCAATCATAATAAAATTTATTTTAGTATAGTTTTATAACTATAATACTATATTGAATTAAGCTACGTTAAAGATCTTTAACAAATTTGGCAGTGTTATTCAGTCTTTAAGTATAAATAGTAAAATTACACTATTTATTAAAATGTAGGACATGAGTAAAATTGTATTAGTTTGTCATTATTGTATTTTTTAATTATATAGAAGAATATCAACAAATTATTATTAACATTAATAATTAATGTTGTTAAGCACGACACTATTGAAAGGTATAGTCTTTAAAGATATCTAATGAAGAAGAAATTAAATTAAATTACAATTTAACTAAGACTAGAATTATAGTATCATAATACAAAAAATAAATAGATTAAAATACACTACTAAAAAAAGTGAAAAAAAGAAACAAAAAACAAAAATACAGAGAAAGTATAGAGATTTAAGAAACGAAAATAAACTAAAATCACCTAATCACTGTATATTTAAAAATTAAATTATAATTTACTAAATTCACTCAAAACAGTATTAAAGTTAAAATTATTTTAGTATTTCAAAAGGACTCAAAACATACAATTTTAGTATTTTATATATAAATATTAACCTAATTTATTATTTTTTTTCTTTAATATAATTATATAATTTAAATAATAAATTTTAATATTATTTTTATTACTCATGGCCTTATAATATGAACAACACATTTGGCCATAGTATAATTGGTAAATTGAATATACCATGCATTTCAAATAATAAATTCAATTTTAAAAGCAATTAATATTAATTAAAATAACTAACTCAAAATAAGATAAATGCAAAAATCATAAATTATATCATAAAAATCCATATATAAAAATATTATCATTATTTTCATTTCAACAACATTGTGCATAATATAATCTTTTTTGGAGGCATTTCTTTCAAAAAATTATGAAAATACATTTTTTGTAATTGATGTATTTTCATCATTATTGTTTAATGTTAGAATACTCTAATACATTTTGGTTTTCATGGATACAAACAATATATTTTTGTAACTATCCCATTTACATTACTGGTGTCGAAATTGACAGAAAAGCCTCCGCATAAATTATAATCTATTGCTCAATGAAAATGATTATATGGTAATACATTTTGGCAATTAATTCTAAAAATAAAGAGTAAACAGTAATTAAATTAATAATTTTTCCATACCAATGTTTATGATAGAAAAAATATTAAAAATCGCTAAAATTTAACAAATTAGTAAATACACATAATTTATACTTTTATTCTATAAAAGTTTAGCAGCCAAAAAAAGTTTGACTTAAAATCATTAATTTAAAATGATAAATAATAATAATGTGATGTTGTATTTGTAGGTCATTAAAAAATTAATTAAAAATTCACTTCGTAAAAAATTTTTTATAAATAAAAATATGGTACACAAAATGTTTAAATTAAATAAAATCCAAAAAATGTTTCAGGGTATTAACACGTTAAGTGCCACGTGGCTTCCGGCGGTCACTCGATTATGCATCATCTGTAAGCCAAGTATATTTTTCAGACTCATTCCATATTTGTATATTATACTATTTATTTGAAATAAGTTTAAAAATATAAAAATAAATTTATTACATCAAAAAATTTGTAAATATGCAAAAATTAATAGTATAAAACCATATTCATTTACGGCCGCCAGTGATCATGTGGCCTGGTAGTAATGATCAATTGTGGCCGCCGGAGATTGCAAAAGCATAACATTTGAGATTTACAAATGACCCCCGGCGGCTGCAATGATGCATGGCGCTTAACGTGTTAATAATAATAATAATAATTATTATTATTATTATTATTATATATATATAATAGGCTTACACAGTTAAAATTGGTTTATCTGATAATGTTTACAATGAGATTAGTGTGATACAACACATTTTGCAGTCTTGTAAAATTGTGACTAAAATAGTGAATGAATGATCAACAAATGAACTAATCCCAATTTTGTATTTTATGATTATATTATATATTTTTTTCTGAAATACATAAGTTAATTGGTTATTGTCTTGACATATTGCATACTTGTTAATATTTAATTTATAGTGGTATGGTTTAACTGTTATATCATTAAATGATAAAAGATATTTAACCATTAAATTTGAATGTAACTAAATTGGTCTAGGCCCAGTAAACAATTTTAACCGCATATATTATACATATTATATATTATTTATAATGTAAGTATAATTTTCTAATTAACCAATAACAAATTATTTACCTAAAGTGTACACATTAATTATGTAGCTTAGTGAAAAGAAAAATATTTTGTACAAAAATAAACCATAATACTATTAGTAAAAATCGGATTTGTGTTAGGTACGTATTGTATTTTATGTTTAAATCAATTATTTTAAAAGCAAATATAAAACACATGGTATAATAAACTTTTGAAATTATTGATGAGTAATTATTTTATTAATACTACTTCAAATACAATTAATTGAGATCTGTCATGAAATATTATTTGAATAAATAATTAAAAATTAGTAATACAATGTTCTTCTAACAGAAAAATAAATAAATACAAAAATGTCCTCATCTGAATAAGAAAAATACTTGGCAAATTGTTTATAATTTCACTGTGTAAATGTCTAAGAAATAATTCCATCAGTCATTGAAATTCAAATGGCACTTAAAAGTCAGTACCACGTTTAAATATTTAGTTTGTATTTATTTTTCTATGATTTTAGAAAAAAAAGTATATTAAATATCTTTATAAAAATATAAATGTTATGATTCTAGATAACAGAAGTTTTGAGTAACAGATAGATACAATAATTATTAAAGTACAAATTAGCATATCTTGATTCATTTATGGTCATTCTTATTGCATGTTTCACGTTTGTAGACAAATGCATGGAATATAACAATATAAACCTTTTACTACAGAGCACATTTAGACTAGTATTTACAAAACAAAATGACTAATATAATACACGTTTTAAAGTAAAAATAAATGTTAGTACTCTGCATGTACTGGTTGTATACTATAATATGCTAATGGTTTGCCTAACTGACCACAATGATATGTATAGGTGTTTTAACAAACTAGTGTTTTACTGACAATTCATTTATGAGTGACACATTTACAATCACTTAATAATTACTATTTTGAGGCACTTATTGTACCATTATTTATCTATATAATTTGTAAAAACACGACACATAGGTAATTAAAATATTACTTAGGTACTAGATTAAAATATCACAGATATTGTAGAAGAATAAAAACTAAGAACACCTCTTATAAAGCAGCTTCCTTTACAAAAGAGTAGCAGCAATATTAAAATGTTCATTTACGTGAACGTCGAGATGTAGGTGGAAAAATATTACCGAACAGTTTAGTAATTGAATCCCGATTTTCTGTGCTCATTGACATAATAGGTACAACACGTTCAATCACATTAAAATTTGTTTTTTTATCACAAGTGATCCATTCATCTTCTAATCTATAAGAATATTGAAAATGAATATTAGTATTAAATATAATATCAAAGTAAATATTAGTAATATACGAAGTATAAATTATATAGACCCCTCATTTCTTTAAAATGGTACCTAATTGTATTGCCAGTTATATATAGATAATTATATATATTCTATGTCAGTGTATATGTGTAGTTTAGTGATAATAGACATAATACTAATAAATTTGGTGAATATTATCAAACATAAAAAATATTTGAATATTATGAATTAGAAATTATAAAAATGTTATTATGAAAAAAAAAGGGAATATAATTTATTACAATAGTTCACTATTATCGAATTTGGAATATTAGGTACACCTAGCCATCTTGTTATACTTGCACTTATCAGTTGTACACTTTTTGTTTTTTTTAATTTCACCTTCTAATAAATCCTTAGCTGCCGAGCTCCAGAAGCATATCTTAAACAAATATATCGATCTAATAATTCATCATTAATATCAATAGATCATCATTTTCCTTTACAAACAGAACATTTTCGAATTGTTAACTGTGAGATACAAAAATCACCACTTTTGATTTATATTTTATAAAAAATGTTATCAATTATTTCTATAACAGCTGTTGATCTGTTACGATATTGGTTATTGCCTATTGATGGTGTTTTAGTACAAGTCATCACTCAACCGCTGTCAGATAAATTATCATAGGCAGATATTTACCATAACTTCATCACATGTTATTTTATATACTGAAGAAGAATGTCTACCTTAATTCTTTACAGTTTTTTTCCTAGAAACTAAATAGAAAATCACTGGACAGTAACATCCCAAAGTCCATTGTGTATACAGCAGCAAGAGCATAATCAGATCTATAGTGTTGAGAAATAGGAATGAAAATGAATGGGAGGACAAAGTTAAATAATTAATGGTACTACTTGTACACAATTATACAAATGTAAAAATTTCACACATTTCTATAAGTTTTGTATTTTGAATTTCACGATTAACAAGAAAAATATGGTGGAATGGGAGACATTTATTTTACACACAGATGGTGATATTTTTGTCGTCCAACAAGTTTGTAAGCTATGGCTTAGTTTTTTACCTGCAACCATGCCGGAAAAATCCAGTCATCTGTTTGGACCTTAAGAGTATCCATTATGTGGACGTCAATATTTAATTTTTCAGTAGAATTTAAAGAGACTAGAAAATGTCTCCATTTACAAAAGATAAAATTATCATATTACAGTACTATATCTTAGGGCTGGTGGTATTTCAATTTTTGTTTGCTACCTAGATCTACAGTATAACCGTACCTCGGTAATTACCCAAAATACCATAACCTAGGCAAATTTATTAGTGATTTCAAGTTTCCAACCTAGGATAGGTCTATTATGTTATGTCATTACTCATTACAATTTTATAAAAATAATAAATAATAAATGTAGTTATACGGTGTTTTGGTAACGACGTTAATTTCCGATTCACGGTACACCGGTTTTCTAAAATACCGAAAATACCAGATATCGGCATTTTTTAAATACCGGTATACCAAAATACAGCCAACCCTACTATATCTATTATTTAATTATGGTTAAAAATGTAACATCAATATTTTTTAATAATTAATAAATGGATTTTAGCAAAAACATACATGTTAGGAGGAAACCATCGCATCAGCACTTCCTGTGTTTTGCTTCCTTCCAATATTCTTCTAGCAATGACCTAAAAAATAGTAAACATTATGTATAAATAATGACTTATAATGACAATATAATAAAAGTTTTTAAGCACAAGCTATAAATTATTATCCGTGGCGTAGCTAGAGAGAGTATATTAGAGTTGTATTACCCCTCTTCAGCCATATTTATGCAAAAAATATTTTTACAAAGTGCTTCAGATATATAAAAAATATGTTTTCATATGGTTTTATTTTATATTTGATCATAATATTATGAAGACCGATGACTAAAACGGAGTGAACCCATCACATTTCATATTTAAACTTAAAAGACACTCCTTAAAAAATCCTGACTACGCGCCAGGTTAATACTATTTCTTAATTCAATTAGGTTTGAAATGCAAACATATTAAGCTTCACTTATATTGCACATATTTTATATAGATGTTAAATTCCAAGCTCTAGCTAAGAATATAGAATAATGTTAAAAAAATAATTTACAATATTTTTTTATTGTAATAGATATTTCCAACACATTTTAAAATAAGGTATTAAAAGTATTGTCAAAATAATAGGTATTAATTGCTTTTTTAACACATGTGAACATATCAAAATTAGATTCTACATTTTCAATAGTGCAATATTTATATTTTGAACTCAATTTTTAATGGTTCACACAAATCCTTTATATAATTTATAGTAGGATTTAACTCTGCATATCACGTGGAAAGAAAATAGAAATTAATTTTACTATTAATACGTGAAAAGATAAATATCACCTATCAGTTTAGTACCACTAAAAGAATATAAAAATAGTCAAATTTAAAAACTCTATCAAAATAATAATAATGAATAATGATAATATTTATACTCTTTCAGATCAATAGCACTGATAAAATAATCTTACATTAGGTTGAAATTTAATCGCTCTTCGACTGTAATCAATAAAATCTTGTTGACTATTTTGTGTACTTAAAAATAGCTGGTTTTGTAATTCCATCATTGTAGCTTGATCAAAGTAATCAAATTTTCTAGCTGAAAAACATAATGATTTATATAGTTAGTCCAAGGTTAATTAATTATACTTCTTGGAAATTTAATGAAATTTACCAGTGAATGGTTGCCTACGAAGACGTAATTTCTTTCCTTTTCTTCTTATTAATTTACCATTTAGACCTTCATCCTCTCTATTACTAGAAGACTTAAAATGTTGATTCACATGTCTTTCAAGCATTATCTACATCAATAAAATTCATATATTTTTAGTTAATCAATTATAAATTTAAAAAACTTATAGACACAAACATTTTATGATAAGTAAATATATTAAAATTGTATTCATTATTAAAACAAAATATGAGTATCTCAAATTTCAATATAAATATAATATTAAGAAGGGGACATGAATAAATAATATTTAGGAAACAATTTATGATGAATTTGTCAATGATGGTTAAATTAAATAGATTTATTTTATTGGTCTTTCTGACCAAATTTTATGTTTTTTTCTTCAAACTAGTAATCTCTATAAAATGGTTAAGTATTATAAATAGGAACTTATATTTCTAAAAATAAAAAGTAGATTGAATACTATTTAAAGTTTTTATTTATAAATTATAATTACTTGAGAACTAAAACGTTGTCTGCACTTCTGAACGATACACTGCAATGGTTTATTACCCCCATGACTTAACACATGACGCTCAAGCCATGAACGTGAACAAGATGGCTTATTAAATACTTTGCAATCTGACCATAAACACACAAAACTTTCACTAAAAGTCTGAGAATTTACATGTTTTACCTGAAAGTAAAAATTTTTAAATTAAATTATAGTAGTACAATATAATAAAAATAAAATACTGCTAAAATATGTCTTTGTGGTTTTTTATATTATATATTTTATCTATTTTGGTATTAGCATAAATTATTAAGAACTGTTTTCTTTAAGATAATAAAAATGCATCATGAAATAATAAAACAAAATAATTTTAAATAAAGTTTCTACTAACCTGGAGATGTTCAATGAGCTTAGCAGTAGCAGTAAAATGACTATCACAATTATTCCAACGACACATGATATTTCCTCTCAATGAAATCCAATGACTATCTAACTTTGGAAATCTAATTTTATTAGAATCAAAACCAACTGACGTTAATTCGGTTGTTGAATAATTAAGTTGTTCGTTATTTCTTATTGAACCATTAATGTCGCATTGCTGATGTTTATTGATTGGATTTCGAAGAGAGCATTTCAATCTTGTTGGTGATGATTTTAAATTATCTTGTATGTTTTTATTTTGGTCCAATAAGTGAGGGATTTTAGATTTGAATAAATCATGAGAAGAACCAGAAGATGATCTCATAAAATACCTACCCTTATTTGGCAGTTTAATTGTCTGATCTACACATAACTTTTTATGAGGACTACTAGAGTTACTTTCATCATCAGAAATATTGTTATTTAATTTGAAATTTTTGGTTGAAGATATATCAATTAAACCTTCACAAATTGATTTTTCACCTTCATCTTTCATGTATTTGATTGAAATACTGTTGTCTATATGATCTTCACACAGTTTAAAATCAGTCTCATCAAAACTATCTGAACACGTTGAGGGGGTACAAGATGGAAACTGTAAAGATAACAATGACTCTTCATCTTTTAATAAACATTTATTATCTAAAATATTGGATTGTAGAGAAGTAATGATGTCATTAGAAAAATGTTCATCAGAACTACGAAGTGTAAATTTTGTTGGTGATTCTTCATCAGACACAAGAAACTTTTTAGAAGGAACAAAGTCACATTCGGATTTAATATCAGAAGACTCTATAAGTTTACACTGAGCTAATGGTAATGAATTAAACAAGTCGTTTATTTTTGACGAATTTTGAAAAATGTTTAATTTGTCATTACACGAGTCATCCTCAATTACATTTTGGTCAAGTTCAATATTGGCAATGTTTGTATCTGTCTTGCAATAATCAGTAGTATCACAGGCATCAGAAAATAATTCAATATTGGAACAATCAGCTGCCCATTCTTCACTCCATGGCCAACATGCTAAGTCAATTTCATCAGCAGAATTCGCTAAAGGTGGTGGGGGTGCCATTATGGGTTCACATTCATCTGGAGAAGGAATAGAATACTCACTAACCCGACTATCTGGAGTCAAAGGTGATCCAAGTTCAGTAATAAATGTTGCAACACCACTGAAAAATTATATTTTAGTTTCTCGTCAAAAATGTATTAAGAAACATAAACACATAGATTAAACAAATATTGCTACACAAAAATGTTTCAATACAGCTTGTTCAACTTTAATACTATGCATTAGTTGAGGATCAATAAAAAGGACAATTAATTTAATTAATATGAATTAAAATAGGTACTCCCATTTTCTTTATATTCTATTTGTGGTTTTTTATTTTTGAGATTGTTAATTAATTCTATACATTAAGGTCAAAGAGATAACTATCTTATTGAACCTTTTTGCCAAGAGTAAGTGTGGCTAATACAGTGGCGCCGAATAAAATTGAAACTCGCAGTTCAAATAATTTGATTGACCCACACACCCACCCTTCCAAATTACCATCCTTTCAAATGACTGTGAAACGGGCTTAACTAATTATGTATAATTAATTTGATGATATTCCTGTGTTTGATAAAATTATAGCAGAAAGACTCAGAAGTATACTCTATTATTTTACACACACACCCACCCAACCAATTTTCATGGCAGTTTAATTGAACTACCTGAAGTACATGTTTGGCGCTACAGAGCTGATAGATTAAACACATACAGTTCAATGCATTATGCATTTTGTAATATTTGCTGAACAAATTGAATAAGTTGTAGCTTGTGAATCAATATCCCAAAAACCAGTGATGGAAAAGATGGTGTTAGTTTTGTATGAACTGCCCAATATTCTAGAAATTAACTAGAATGCTAAATTAACTAAATTCTTATTTTTTTTATGAGTCTAAATGTAATTTGTTTGTTCATTGAAAAGTTGACTATTATAATATATAAAAGATATTTTGTATACAAATATTGGAGTTAAAAATGTCGTCGTATTTTTATCAAAGAAATTAAATTTTACGGATTTTTGTATTTTTCAATAGTTTTTATAGCAGATAGTGTAGATAGACAATTTAAGATACAAGATCAAACAATATAATGAGATTAGGTATACAATATATTGCAAGACTTATACAAAGCTGGTAAAGCTGAATATTTTAAGTTAATTTCTATAGTTTTCTTTATTAAAAAAAATGCAGCAATTTAGTATTTAATGTATATAAAACACACATGCGAAAAATAACTTTCATTGAATTGGCAGTATCATGGTATTTTGCGCCCAGTATTTTACAACGCCCTCAAATGCTGCACTTAATAATTGTCCACTTAAAATTACCGTACGGTGTGGACCCAACGCTTGTACATGCCTTAGTTCACCCTGATCAGTGGCGCCCAACCCTATTTCTAAGTGTAGCGGTCGCTACACCTTGAAAATAAGGGGTGGATGGGTATAATAACAAAAAATAATAAACTTGAAATATGTTCATAATTAATCACAGATTATATTGGTTGATACCTTAATATTTACTAATATTATCAATACAGATATGATAAAATGTATTAAATAATATAATTTTGAGTTTTGAGAGGGTGGGTGGGTGGGTAAAATTTTTTCTTGCTACACCTGAAAAATATATCTTGGGTGCCACTGACCCTGATTATGGTATATAATAAATTTACTTAATTTTATTAATTGTATTTTTCTATGTTACTGTATATTATTCACTATGTTGGATTTCTATCAATTTCAACAATATTTTCAACACTATAACTTACTACTAAATACCTACTTGTTAAATTGTATGAACACGAAATTTAACTAGTTCATTTTAAAAACGAAGCTCTAGAACTTGAAAAGTTCATTTTTTAAAAAGTTTTTCCTATCACTGCCAAAAAATAAAAAATATACTGCATTTAAAAACTGAGTAAAGCTGGTATACATAAGTACATAACAAAAAAATAAAATAATTGAAGACTATTTGACTATTTAAAGCAGTGTTTTCCTAACAGGGGAAGGCATACAGAATTGTCATGGTGAAACTTCATTTTTCAAATAACATTCTATAAAAAATAATGAATAATTATGTACCTTCAAATGGAATATTAGTACAAATTATTTTCCATCTAATTTTTGGTTAAAAAAATAAAAATTATGTATCATTTAATATTATGTGTATAATAAAAGTTTAAATTACCTACTTAATTCCCAGTATTACCAAAAAAGTCATGTAAATTGATGTATAATAAGAGGGCGGGACATTTTTACAAATCTAAAAAGGAGGATTGGAGTAAAAAAGGTTGGGAACCTCTGATTTAAAGGATACTTATAAGTCCCAATAGTCCCATACAACAATATTAAACTGTAAATAATAACTGAAAATAAAAATAAAAATGTGGATGTTATTTCCGAAAGAACAAAAACTATATTTGTATCTTAAAATCAAACTAAAGCCTAAAATTAGTATCTATTAACATTAAAATAGGGGAACATTGAATTTATTTGGAACCTATATTTTTCATGTAAGATTTATAATATGTATTGTACCTAATATTTATCATAATAAAATATTGTTATAAATATTGTTGGTACAATAATTGAAAATAAATCTATTAAATATTAATTGTGATAATCAATCCAATAGTTTGTGACCTGTTGTTTGCTAATAATATCAGCCAATAGTTTTTACAGAATTTCCCATCAGTCCTTTGATTATTGACAGTGGTCGAAGTGGGGGGGGGGGATACGGAGGGATGACATCCCTCTACTTTTTTGTATTTACATTTTTCATCCCTCTACTTATTTTGTCTAGAATAACGCATTCCTCCTAAGACTTGTGTTTTAAAATGAAATAATTATTATGATTTTTATATTTATACCTATGTATAAGAAAACTTTTTATTTTTCGTATAGGCCGTTTCGCAATCATATTATCTATACCCGTATTTAGAGCCACGGATTAAGAATTTACATATACCTTAGTCGTGTTTAGAGCTAATAACATAATATTTTAATATCACAAAACAATAACAATATTGATGATAATAAGTAGGGACGTAGCAACTAGCAATATACTAAAATATCTAAACGTCATTCTGACAATATTTGTTGATAACTGATAAGTAGATGTGTCTAAAATTCCACAGAAAAATATTATAATAAAATATTTTATCAGTTTTTATTTTTTTTGAAAAATTTGAAAATATGTTATTTATTTGTTTAGTTTAAAGATTATTTATGATCGAAAAAGATTGTAGTATTCTGATGCATAAACAAAATGTGAACTATAAAAAAAAAATACTATACAAGCTATAAAGAATGTTATGATGATATCTTAAATATAATATTTTGATCCCCGTCGTTTAAATACATAGTATTTTTTATAAAGATTAAGTATTTTAAGCTTTCATAACTTGTATGTTATGTATGAGTATATAGCAAATATCAAGTAGTATAACATAATCTGTTCCTATTGAGTACATTAGTACAGTAGCATATTGATATTACATTTAATACTCTCAGTGGCACTAATACCATGATTAGAGGTTTTAACCATAAATAAAAAAATTATTCTCTTAAATGTTTCATAGATATTATATAAGAACTATTATTATACCTATTGTAAACATTATAATAGCTCCTTAATTATTTTTGTATTCAAAGTTTTTGAACTTCTGTAATATTATAACAGTGTTGTGTACATATTGTATTAAACTTACGAATCTATAATAATAGTTGTACATACCTGTCTGAACTTTCAGAGCTATCATACCTATCAACACATCTCTTTTTTGTACATTTTTTTAAGGTAAAAGGTCTGTCTGATGAACAAAACGTCATGTTGACAATCTCGTGGCAAATATCCAATGTCTGAAGTGGATCCACTGAAAAAAAATACATACAATACATTAGATTGTGAATCCAATATTTAAGTATTCTGCATAAGTATAAATAAACTACATTAGGTACCAAAATAGTTTTCTAAATCAAAATTTGTTGTAATCATTAATACAAATATAAAAGTATAATAATCTCTATATTCATTTTTTTAAGATGACGTCACACCTGCATGCATTGTCTCTGTTTTACAAATGTATAACATAACAAAAACTGTTTTGCACAAGTCAACTTGTATCTTTCTGTATTTGTGGTAGTGGCTCCAAAATTATTGAACATATAATGTAGAAAGTTATCTATGCAACAGCATGCCTATATTTTAGATAACATGAATACGATAATAGTTATTTGCTTCTGAACATTTTTTTTCATTTGCTTATAAAATATGATTGGATAGAGCTTTTTAAAAAAAAGCACTCTGTTGCACAGATAAAGTTCTTCTTTATTTTTGATCTTTGTATCTTTTTAATTTTGTGAAAATTTGGTGGTTCTACAACAAATATGGTGCGAGAAAAGTTATCCTGAGCAAAACAGTTTTTGCTATGTTGAACGTTTGTAAGAAGGAAACAATACATGCAGGTGTGACGTCCTCTTAATTAATTAAATTGGGTTATTTAATATTTAATTAATGTGTTTTAAATTTAAACGATTCTAAAACAACATTTTCAAAATTTGATTTATTATGAGTCGTGGTTTTTCTGAATAAGCAAGGCATAAAGTATAGAATGATACCTACCCACAGAAATAAATATTTTCACATATTTTATTTTTTTAGAGAGAGAGAGAGAGGGGGGGGGAGTGAGAGAAAGAGAAAAAGAGAGAACTCAACTATGGTAACTATGGTACAAAACAATTATATACTCGTTTTGTGAAGAGTCAATAGAGGATTAAGTGTGCATCTTCTACATTTCAGTGAGACTGTTTAAAAAAAGTAAAGATAGATAAACAATTATTCTATAAATAATTATAGGAACGTAATTTTAATGTTTAGACACCATATTACATGTGAATAAAACAACACCTTTACAGACATCTTTTATTCTTATTCTTATTACACTTAAATACGCACAATTTTATAGGTGGCTCTTAACTGCAAAAGTGGATGTATAATTAAATATTTTTAAAAATATTTGATTAGTTAAGATCTAAAAAATATTAATTCTTTATACCTATAATATATATTATATATTATTAAAATGTTTTCAATTATTTATGAATGATTTGTGTGAGGTTTTTATCTATAACAGACTTTATGTGATGTCAAAATTAAAAATAAAACTGTAATTTGTATTAAATCCATAATAAATTATAGTTGCTTGAGTTGAATAAAATATGTAAATTAATAGGTCTCTACATATTGACTATTCACAACATTTTTTTTTTTAATAATATTGAAGAAATAAGTAATTTAAGACCATGTTAGCAACACTATTTGTTTTTTCTCTTCAAACCACAAACAGCATAGACAAAACACATTTGTGCAAATTTGTTGGTTATTTTCTTTGAGTAATCCTAGAGTAAAATTATTACAAATTTACAACAATTAGGTATAAAGAATAATATTTTTAAGGGTTTGAAATAGATGTAAATAGTAATAACCATTTAATTTTAAAAAAAACTGTGTATTGTTTGACTTTTAAGTCAAATGAAAATAAAAATACAAAATCAGTAGGTACACAAAACTATAGAAAATATTTTTATCTACAGTTTTTGTAATAGGTTATTTTACTCTTAAGACTACTCATAACAATAAAAACAGATATTGCGTGAATGGATTTTGCCTATGTTGCTTCTGGATCAGGGAGAAAACAAATAGACAATAGTATAATTAGATCCTCTCTTAATACCTATAAGGTATTATTGAGGGTATTATTATACAAGAAAATTATTTATTTTATAATAAATTAATAATAGTATGTTTAAATTATCTTTATGTTTTATAGATTTCTTTGTTTATATTTAATTATTCAAAAAAAAAAAAAAAACAGCTAAATGTGAAGTAAAAATTAACTATATATCATTATTTAACATTTTACAAAAATATATAGTAATATTTAAAATTTGGAAGTACCTATGAACCTATAGTTAAAGTAATTTTACGAGTGTTAGGTATTTAATTTTATAATCATCTGAAAATTAAAACACCTATAGAATAAATTGAAACGAATATATTTTATTCTATAAAAAGTTGTGACAGTTAATCACGAAATAAATATAAAACTTCAATTAAAACCCAATAACAAAACAACTGAGCATGGATGTGCGTAATAAACTCGTATTGTAATATGAATACAAATACAAATTAGAATCATATTATTACGTTATTATTGTTATTGTTAATCATTGCACGAGTGTGGGTTGTAATCCATAACATACAAAAACCAAACAACAACAACAACAACAATAACAATAATAATAATAATAATTTAACTCGACGACACGATCAGACGAGAGGGTGTTCTCTCGCGCGGTACTTAAAAAATATACGAGTCGGAATAAAGAAAATGCGTATAATATTATACTTAAGCTAACGTTATAGAGACAATGTTATAATAACAATAATATAGTAGGTAATCGTAATAATAAACATCATTGTCTCTTTCTCAAAACTCACGGTTGTCGGTCAATCGGAAGCGCACTTCTCCAGCCATTTTGCCGTCCGATATAGTAGTGTACTTACTATACTGCCGCTTATATACCTACTACATGTATGCACCGCCACAAACTATACGCTCGCCTCGCCGAATTGCATTCACGCGCACTCACACTGGCACGCGCGAACACACGGTCGCTCACTCACACGTACACTAGCTCGTTCACTCATACGCACACTTTGGCTCCCTCACTCACACGTACATACACGCACGCACGCACACACACACACACACACGTCTAACCCGTCGGAGACGTACGCATTTCTTGTGTTTACGTGCTCGGCGGCGGCGGCGGCTGCTGCGTCTATGCGGTGCATGCGATGCAAGTACGTTCGCACGCACGCACACGGACACACAACAAAGGTGCAATCGGTGCGGGACGGAGGGAACTCGGCGGCGTGGTCCGATCACGGTCGACCGCGGCGCGCGATGTCGTCCCGTGTGTTCCGTTCTCGGATGTCGGCGGCGCGCGTTGAGGTCGACGGCAACTACTACTACTACTACTACGTATTTGCTACTACTACTACTACGTACTACTACGGACACGGGTGTAAGTGTGCGCTCGTGTGCGTGTGTCGTCGTCGGTGGCGGCGGCTGTACGGGTTGGGAAAGGGTGGGGCGGTGGAAGCGGCGTCGCGAGGGTGAAGGGCAGCGAGGCCGAGACCGAGCAGCGCGCGCTCCGGAGATCAACAAACTCTCCGAGGTTGGATTATTATTATTATTACTATTATTATTATTATTATTATTACTATTATTATTATTATTATTATTATTACTATTATTATTATTTCATCCTCGGCTGTAACACAGTAAGCGACATCCTTATCAATTTACGTTTTTTTCGTTTATCTTGTTCCACATAGTATTCTGGTTCTAATGGTATCAAAATTGTTACTATGGTCCTACTGTTCTATGAGATATGGTCAATTATATACACTAGTTCGCCATCTAGTTGCATGGACAGCACGTTCACTAATTTGCTTCTCCTGAACAATTTTGTAAAATACACTGACTGTGTTTCACGAATGTCAGCCGTCCTGGCGAGCGTCGGTGACGGCATGAGCGGCCGCGGCAGATGACGGAACATGCAGTAACCATTACGTAACACCCGTTACCGGGTCTGCGATAACCGTATTATCCGTCTTTGTTATTTCTTTCTGTTTTTCGCTCGCACATAATATTCATCTCTCACTCGCGCCCTCCGATGCTCTCTCGCTCTCCCCCCGTTCATCATAACTCGCTTCTGCCATCTCTCACTCGCTCCCTCGGTCATTCCGCCGACCCCACTAGCTTCGGTCTACGTCGTTTTTGCCGCGCCGCCGATCGCTTATTCCCAGCAGGCAGCTGCTGCATTAAATGTATTGCCGTCCGGCCTCGACTCGTTCGCGAACGCGATCCGGTTAACGGGAGACGAGCCTCGCGTGGAGATAGAATGTTCGTCGGACGGACCCCTCGTGATTCGTGTACGATTGCGGACGACGATTACCTGTAATAATATATATAATATAATAAGTGGTATATAATAATATATTATATACACTCGGAGCGACATTATTATAATACATTATTAGAAGTATTACATTTAAAATGTATTATATTATTGCTTATATGCGTTTGCGTGCGTGTACAGACGCACAGTAATAAGTACACTACACCGCGTAGGTATTTACGTATTTATCACTCCGCAGTCCGCAGCACAAAACATGGTATTATAATATAATATAGGAGATTGGAGTAAAAACATATGAGTGATACCTACTGGTTACCTATAGGGAAATACGTCTGTCGTGGTTTTGACTGCGTCAGATATAACAGAAGTAAAAGAAACTATATAATAGTATTATTAAGTTATGCGTGTTGACCCGGCAAAAACACGGTGGAATGCCCGTGCGAATAATGTCGACATGTCGTGTTTCTATACATTTATCGTTCGTTATAGGTACCTAAATATTATGAATTATAAAATATAAATTATAATCAATAGTGTATATACATTATACATGGTTTAACCTCTTAGAAGCATTATGATTATAAGCATTCTTATATATAAGCAATCTTAATAATTTGTAAAGAGCAGGCTTATTGTCTCAGTATATATATATGATACGGGCAAAATACTTATAAATTGAATATTTTATCTAATACTCGAGAAATGTATATATAGAATGCTTAATGTAGGTGGAAAATGTAAATCACATAATATGCCGCCGGACATTTAAAGTGACCAAAATCTGCAATGTATCTAGTTTTATTTAAAGATATATAACTTACTATAAACTAAATAAATAAATAATTATAATGTAGGTACCTTAAAATGTAGTACACTAGTAAGTAGTAAGATATTAATTTTTAATTTTTAATTAAAAAAAAAGAATGATTTTATATTGTATTATTATTTAAGATTGGAACATAGTATATGGATAACCATAACTGTTATAGTATTTTGCAGGTATAAGTCTTCCAGCAGCTTTTCATTTGCATTTTTTTCTTTTGTAAATATCAACATCGATAATCGATATATCCCTGATCACCCAAGTTTGATAATTTCCTTGCCGCTCACCTAAGTAATATTTTACTGTGGCAAGTCTTCAATTTTAATGAAAGACTCAGTGACTCACTACATATTTATTTAGTTATAACTTACTTTAGTAAACACAAAATATCATAGAATTTTTTAATAAGTATAGTATAATATGAATATTTTATTTAAAGTTCATATTGCCGTGATAAATCGGTATTTCTATACAATGCCCAATGATAATATTATATTCTATTAAAACGGGTGGACAATATAAAAAATCTTTAAGCTGCAAATTGTAACTATTGAAATTTCCCAAAAATTCCCGGCCAAAGTAGAAAATTTCTCGATATTTTACATTGCCTATAACATAATGTCATAATATATATGACAAATGTGAAATTTCTAGTCTTAAAAACATTCACTCAAAATGCAAGATACAATGAAACTAATCCAACGGATATCTGCAAATTAGCGCGAAAAGTCAAAATTGTTTCAAATGTTTAGTAACTGCGGACTAATTGTACATATTATTATATGGTCACAATTTTCTTTTATAAGCATTTAAAGTTCTAATTTCGACAATAGGCATTATATAATCACGAAAATATGCAAATTATTTTGAGTTAGAAATTAATAAAAAATGTTCTTTTTAAAATTTTAAATCTAAGATTTAAAAATGTAGTACAAGATTCTTTATAACGTTATCTACCTTTATCAAAAAACCAAATGTCTATAAGAAAGCCGAATTACATTCAAGCCCGGATTAAAGGGGGGCACGGTCCCGAGGCCCATTGATTTTGGGGGTTCATCATTATATCCCCGAAATATATTTTTTTAAATATATAAATATATAAACAATACAGTTTTAAAAAAAAAAAAAGTAATTTAATTAGTAGGTATAGTAGGTAAATTATTCTTAATAACTATAAAATAAAATTGTTCTCAATTTAATATTACGAAAAATTTCTATAAACAATGAACTATATGTTTGCCAACAATTTCGTTTGTGTTTTTTTGAACATTTTAGATTACTGATTAAACTATTTAAGTATATAAAAAGGTAGTTATATAAGAGAAAAATATTTAGCTTTTGTAAATTAGGCATTTCAGTTAAAAGTATTAATGCATATTATAAATTCAAAAATGAATAACCGTAGACACTTACAATTTATATCATATGTTTATTTTAGAAATTCTATAATTGATGAAATTTTCAAAATATTTTGGCTGTTTAGTGTTTAAGGACATTTTCAATTTTTTTAGTTTTTTTTTCTATAAATGTCACTAAAATTTTATCTGTTGTGTCAAAAAGCGTGAATAAAAGGCTCCTGATATATTGTTACAAAAGTCATAAAAAATAAAATTAAAAAGGTGCTCTGCTGTACAGTAGGTTACAAGTGGGTCACTGTATAATGGAAGGTATTAAATTTGAATTCAATGATATTATATCATTGTATAAGAAAAACAATTCTGAGCGGAGATGGTATGTCAGTCTAGGTATAGGTAAGACATATTTTATACTTATCTATGGTATTAAAAAAATTGACCTGTTCTAGGTACCTATTATAATAAATTTCAAATTAATCATATCCCAATATCCATTAGGTACTTACAACACGTTATACATCAACAACAAACCCTGATACTATCACAGATTTATAATAGTGTACTTTAGAAGTTTCAAGTACCTACTCACGAATAATATTATACAATCACAACAAAATAACTTGAATGGTTATTCTTGGTTTTTTAATAATATGTAATTTCGTCCATATTTGAACTTAAAAGACTATAAAAATAAACTGTGATTATGTATTTTTTAGATTTTTAGGTAATAGAATTAACTACTTACGTGGAATCTTGTTTTAAATTTTCAATCCTTAGACATAAATGTTGAACATTTTATAAATTTTTAACTACATAATAATTATTCAATTTTAAATTTGATAAATATTGTCAAAATTCGATCTTTAAATGCTTATAAAAAAAAATTGTGCCTATGTATTTTTAATATTTTTAAACTGGTATTGTAACAATATATCAGGAGCCTTGTATTCAATTTTTAAACTTTTTGGCCCAACAGATAAAACTTGATTGATATTTATAGAAAAAAAAACTAAAAAAATTTAAAACTGTAAATGTCCGTAAACAGCTTAAAACCAGTCAAAATATTTTGAAAATTTTATCAAGTATAAGAATTAATAAAATAAACATTCAGTGAAATTTTTATGTATCTACAGTTGTTCGTTTTTAAATCACAACAAAATAAGGAAATCGCTACATGAAAAATCGAGTGAATATCCAATGTTGTAAAAATTTGAATTTCAAAAGCTCATAAAAATTAAATTAACTTTCTTATATACCTACACATTTTTTTTTTGATAAAGGTAGATAATCTTATAAATAATCTTGTATTACATTTTAAACTCTTAGATTTAAAAAGAAAAAATTTTACGTCATGTAGTATTCATGATAG